TTTAATAGAAAAAAACACCATTATTGGTCAAGAGAAAATCTTTTGTTAGTACATCCAAGAGGCCCACAAGTCCGTTTCAGTTTCAACGTTTGGTGCGGTATAATTGGTTCAAAAATTGTTGGCCCGTTCTTTTATGAGGGAACCCTAACTGGTGAAAGATATGTGGAATTTATGTCAGAAATTCTGACTAATTTCTTAGACATCATCTGCATTTTCAGCAAGATGGCGCACCTGCCCACAACTCCAGAGGTACTTATCATTTTCTAAGTACTACTTTTAATGATCAGTGGATAGGAACAAATGGCCCAATACAGTGGCCTCCCAGATCACCAGATCTAAACCCACTTGATTACTTCTTGTGGGGTTACTTAAAGAACCAAATTTACAAGCGAAGGTACGATAACCTTGACGCGTTAAAGACTGCAGTTAGGGAAAAGATAACCCAGATAGATGGTAGGACCATACTTAAGACAGTTCAAGCAGTTGAAAAACGTGCCCAAAAATGTATTGAAGAACAAGGCGGTGATTTCGAGCATCTTCTTTAAAAAAAATTGTTATTGTATTTTGTAAGATTATAAGTTGATGTTGAAAGTAAAGTTTGTCGATACAATTTAATTGTTTCAGATTGGAGGCCATAACTTCAACAATTTGTAACCTAGGAGAAAAGTTATTGTAAGCTTTTTTGTTTAAAATTTGATGCTTTAACAGAAAAAAATATAATATACAGGGGTTTCCATTTAAAAAATTGTTATTTTACTGAAAAAAATCAAAATAACGACTCTCAATTGTTTTTTTTTTTATTTCTCATTTTTACCAGCGTTAAAAATGCTACTAGTTTGCTAATTCAAACAACTTTGTATTTTCACTAATAACCAAGTTACTAATGGTGGACACTTAATTTGGATAACCCTGTATAGCCTGCCCCAAAAAGCTATTATCTACACTTCCGCTTTCTAAGAGAAGCAGTATGTTTTTTCTTTGCAAAGTTTCATCCGGTGACCCCACAGAGAGGCTTTGCAGATGACTTACTTTGATTCTAGTCCGAAGGAGCTCATAATACACCACTAAAACGTATATTTAGGTTATTGTTCCACAGTGCATCGTCAACTAAGATCTTTCTTATGGATTGGAGTTCAACAGTGCCTCGAGACACATCAGCCCGGTAGAGGCTCCTGGTTCTAAGGCAAAACCTTAACTGACAAAGGCCAACCGAAATGTGTAACTGGTATTGGCACATGGCTGAGCTTTTCCAGGTAACCGTTCGCTTTTGCATGTCAGAACACAAGTCGATTTCAATAGATTGAAATTAAAAGAGTTCTCAATGCTTCGGGCAAAAATATTAATTTAAGGATTAATTATGGGATTGGTAAGACAACATAGAGAGGTAAAGTTCTTAAGATCATAGGCTCGAAAAAATATGCCATATTTAAACTATATTCTGTAATGATATTTTAGATCTATTGCGAAGGCCCCTAGTCTAGGCATATCGGTCTGAAATTATTACTGAAAGTTTTATCCCAATATAACATGTGGTTGATTACATTTTATCGATAGCTTTAGGAGGAATTTTTAAACGGGTCTTAGTAACAACAATTATCCTTGAATTCGAGTATATAGCCTTCTCTCGTGACCTGGTAACTGAAGTCCTCAAATGCGCGACATCACAGTGAACAAAAAATTCTTCTTTGCAGCATTCATCAGATATATTAAAAAACTTCCAATTCGCAGCGCCACAAAGTTGTTTATGGCTGTTATGGATCTTTTGACGAGGTGCCGATATTGGGATTTATTGTTCGCGTCTCAATGATCGCAGTTTATATTTATACAAAGGGCCTCCAGGCGTCAGAACGGAATATCGAAGTACATGAAAGAGCACTCTGGGAATTAGTTTCGTATTTATACATAATAGACGATGAGCTGATATAGGGCCCTTGGTGCAAACTGGTACTTTTTTTGTACTATTATGGAATAGGGTAATTTCCATAATCTTTTTTCAACCGAATATAAATATTTTGTCTCCAAACTATCACAGTTGTCTAAGTGAAATTTAGCTGGGATGTATTAAGTTTGTAGCGAGACTGAAAACCTATTGGCAAGTTGACATCAAATGCGTGTTCTCGGTCTGTTGACCATGTTCACACCGTGGGTAGCTAACCACAGGCCTGTGTTGTTTTCCAGACATAACTTCCGTTTATTTTTTTAATAATAATGTTTATTGTCACAAAGTATAGGTAAGCACAAAATATTGTGCACAATAAACATAAAGCACCCATAAAAGTTTGCACTTGCATTTGAGTTTGTTAAAAATAAAAACCAAAAGTACAGTCAATGTTTGGAAAATATGAATACTATATAATTTAGTGAATTTAATTATCCAGACAATTATAACTAAAGTAAAAGTATGGATGTTAGTGTAAGTAAGATATTATTGATTTTGATGACATTGAAGAGGTGGGACAAGTGTATTAGTCGAAGTGGACAGTATTTTGAAAAAGATAAGGTTACTTTGTGAGAAAGTTGGAAATAAATAGCTTTTAAAACATAATTAGTTTGGTTTTTGATACCCCCTCATATATCAAATATTGCAGCTAACACCACGTAACTCAAAACTATCAAGTTTTTAGGAGAGCAAAAGGAACGTTGGGACTCTTGATTTCCTGTTGAATGCCATGCAAATCTTATCCCATCGATCTACTGCTAAACATCTCGATTACAATAATTTCAAAAATCAAGTTAAACAAAATAATCTTTTATGCTCAAATCTGAAACCCCCAGTATATAGTTCAGCAATATTTCTGCATATTAAATAAATCGTTTATAGTTTTTCTTTTTTGTACACTCATGTGTACGTTGTATTCAATGTGTAATTTTTGTATAAATTTTGGAAGAATATTTTGTTAACTAACTTGAAAAGTGACATTATGTCGGTTTTTATGATATTATGTAGGTTTTTCTACAGGATATCAACTAGGAGCTAGCTGTCGTTCACTTCATGCTAGCTTTTAGCAGACACGGAATGAACTATGTGCACATTACCAGCTACCTGGTCAACCAGTTGACATTTGATCGGTATTTTTTAACATTATTGAGGTCTTTTACGTAATAGAATAGAATAGAAATGTATTGGTTTCTCAGTTATAAACCAAAAGCAAAGAAATTTACAACAGAGATAACACGTCATTGTGATACAGTGTAAGTACATACAAAAACAAACATAAATAGGCAGCATAGAACACAGCGATATTGATGCTTACGGTTTCACTAGAGCACAAAACTCTTCAATACTATATGGTTCCATTTCGCATATATATTTATGAATGCTTTTTTTAATATCGTGAATGCTGAAATGGATTGAATATGTTGAGGTAAAGAATTGTAAAGTTTCAGTGCAGAGTAGTGTGGACATTTTTCGGTAGAATTTAGCGTATGTGATGGGTAGATGTATTTCTGATTTTTGCGAGTATTGTAACTGTGATGGAAGACATTTTTTTCAAACTTTTCTTTATGATAAAAGATAAATAGTAGAGTGTTATAGATATAAATTCCCGGTAATGTTAATAAGCGGTTGACTTTAAATATACTTCTACATGACTCTCTAGGTTTTATGTGATACCCAGGAGGTTTGTATCGCTATTGATACATTGAGGTACGTTAATTAAGGGTATTCCTTTGGTGGCATGTCTTGACTGAAATAGGACACAACACGTTTTTTGTATGTTAAATGCTAACTTGTTCACCTGCAGCCAGTTTTGAATATGATTTATTTGGGTCTCTATCAAGATTCGGATATCAGACGTTCCTTTATATGGTACCAGAATAGTTATGTCATCTGCATAGATGAAACTCAGATTAAGCGTATTTTCCGTGGTGGTGGATATATTATTAATATAAATAATAAACAATGATGGGCCCAGTGTACTGCCTTAAGGAACACCAGTACTATATGTCCGAGGATTAGATGTTATTCGTTTCCCAGTTTTGTTCAAAATTAATTTCTGTCTTCTATTACAGAGATAAGATTTAAGACAGTAGTACGCATGCATTCCCGCGTATACCATATTTATATGTATAATTTGTTTAGCAATATTTCGTGATCAATGCAATCAAATGCTTTTAACAAGTCCACAAATAAACCAAATGCTGCTCCTTGATTCTCTCGATATTCATGGATTGCTGTTGTGAAATCGAACAGTGCTGTGTTCACACCTCTACCTTTCATGAAGCCATGTTGGTTATTTGTGAAGTATTTATTTTATTGGAAAAAATTTATAAGACGGTTGTTACAAGCAATTTAAAAAATGTTCGAAAAATTTATCAGCAAGCTAATAGCACGGTAGTTGTCCATATCATCAGGATCGCCTTCTTTATAGATTGGTAATACAAGTGTCATTTTTAATGCTTCTGGGAATTCCCCTTCACTAAGAGGTGTATTTAGGATGTTAAGAAGAGGATCAGATCATTTTTTTAATGATGGAAATTGGAACGTTGTCATCACCACAACTTCTTGTGTTTTTCAGGTTGTATACAATTCTGAGCAATTCATCATGATGTATTGGAGTTAAAAATATTTTTTATTTTTTAGCTCTAGGTTGCAGTCATAATTCAAATTTGGTAGTTTTGAGAGGAGTTTTGGAGCAGCGTCGACAAAGCTTTTATTGAAATGGTTGGCTAAAGCATTTACGTCATTAGGTAGCGGTAAGACAAACTGATCTGACGACGTTTTGAGTGTGTTAGTTAATTCTCGCACTGCATTCCAAATTCCTTTACTTCTATTGCCATGATTATTTACCTTGTTCAAATAGTATTGCGATTTTGAATCTTTCAAGATTTTCTCATATGTCTGATTATAACTTTTAAAGACATATTTCATCTTGTTTTGAGAAATCAATCAATAACCCTGCCGAACCTGTGTCCACAGGTTTGGTGTCGACAAATTTGATACCATGTTTATCCCTCGACTGAACTATATCAATATTCTAAAAGGATCCAACTCAGTGACTATTTGAAGGAGTATGATGCAGATTAATTAGTAATTAGCGTAAATAGTATGCTTTGTTCATCCTTCGACAGATTCATTTATGTTGACGTACTGGGCATACCCGCCATCACACCAGCGCCAGCTTTCAGCAAGTTCAGTGCTTAACCCTGGTTACACAAGATGGTTTGCAAGAGATTCTTAGCTTTGGTGAGTTTTTCTCTCATACTGTAGTGTGACTCGAAGTCGGAATGTTTTGTACTGTTGCAGTGTTGCGTGTGATTGAAAACATATTCCGATTTGATTTTTTTTGCATAATGCCTTTCAACAACGATGTGCGTCAAAAACAAATCCCAGAAATCGTTTTTGTTTCTCTCCGGGCACAGCTTTTTTAGGTTTTTGAAGTCTTTCTAAACAAATAGTTCTTATTAACTTTGATAGCTTTCCAGGTATAGTCCATAGCATCAGAATCAATGGCATCTTTTAGAAACTACTGCATAATCGTAAATGAAATCCTACCTGTCAAATAGGACACTATGTGAATATTGATGATACTATGAGAGAAGGTACAGCAGCGAAGTTTGGAGTACAACAAGGGACTGTACTGGCACCGATATTACTTGACATTTACGTCAACGAACTGTATTTACTAGAACATTTGCTGACGACACGGCCAACAAACCTGGGAATACCTAAACACTCTGAGAGAAACAGAATTTTGCAAGATTATTAAATAAAAACACAAGTGGATAAAGGTGTGATGTAACAAAATCACTGTATGGAGGAAACTGACACACACACAAAAACATTTTATTGGGACTTTTTACATCTTGAAATTTTAAATATTTAGTTTAATTAGTTTGTTATTATCTTGTACTTGCAAAAAAGTAATCAAATAATGAAATAATCACCCCTTAAGGATAGGTTAATTTGATGAAAAAAAAACATTTTTAAAAAACGTGAAGCGACTCAAATATTCAACTTTAGACGAAAAGCTGTTAAACAACCAAACTGAACAATTACTAGTAACATCTTCGCGCAGTATTCAATACCTGGAGGTGTACCTATATTCCACCCTTAAATGAGAGAAACAACATGTCCTAATAAAAAAAAACTGCGTACAATACTTTACAAGTTCAAATATCTCATGAAATACTATGACTTCTATCAAATGAAAGTACTTAAAGCGTAGTGTCAATATCATGTTGAGATCGGTCAAGTACCTAGGATCGAGCCCTTATAATCATCTGCCTAAGCAGCATAGTTATATGAAGTTTAAAGAGAACTAAAAAATGGATAAAGGAAATACCTCGGCTCCACATACATCTCAAATAATATATAAAAACATTTAAAACCTTTGTTCCAAACTGTCAAGGGATTCTTTTTAAAGTTTCTAATCTATAAGGATCTAAAAATATTCAATGATACGGCTAAAACAAATTTTCAAACCTTCTACCTTCCTAATATACCACTCTCAAATTCGTCAGCACCCAACTATGACTATTGTACTCGTATCACCTATGGCGACAATTATACCAGATGCAGATTGAATACTTTATAGACATTTCACCACACACAGGCTTATGCCTTGTGAGGATATTTCATATTTATTTGTAAGTTATTTTCGTTTTCCACCTGAAACATTTGTAATTGTAAATGAACAGTAAATAAATATTGTTATTTCCGTTTTTCCACGGTTCATGACCGGTACAGCGATGGTACGGGTGCAGAATTTCACATTGTCCAAACGATACTCGGTTGTGAACACTGCATTGGAAGAAACTCACGCGTATAGCAAACGCCTGGTCAAGTGGAATGTACTCAAGAATTACGGACTCTTGCATTAGTTGATAGAGGTGTGATTGTATGTCCCACTCCGGAAGAGATTTGGTATCACGTCCATATTAGACAACATAATTGGCACTACTCTTACCATTTCATATTTCTACAAACCCTTAACCTCAAAGCATACACTGTAACAAAAGTTTGGAACGTATCAAATATCTAACAAATGACTCATCTGATTTTCTTAAAAATTGGTAGGTTTAGGTTCGAAACCACGGCGGATCCGTTCATGATATCTGCGATGTTGAGAAATCTACAATTTTTCGCTGATAACTGAACAACTTTTGTTTTCCATATGGAATAATGCTATACCTTTCATTCGATATTTGTGTTCCGCCAGAAATCCTAAATACTTTTTACTAAACATACTTCGACGTAGACCTCGGTAGTTTTCGAAATAACAGTAAAAGGTATTTTTTTCACCTAAGCAATGACCGGTATGGAATACAATTTCCCGTCATCTCTGACACTGAAAAGTCCATTGAGTCTTGATCGTAGAGTTAATAAAAATATGATTGATTTAACTAAAACCAAAAGGATAGAAATTCTAATATTGATAAAATAGTGTATTTGATATTCCAAGCAATCAAGAGAAAAATTAAAAACAAAGAAAACGATAAAACCTAGTTGTTAATTTAAACAATATAACAATCATATTAAGTGTTTATTGTTTAAATTGCCGTCCATATACTTCTTTTCAATAAGTTAGATATTTGCGGAAATGCGTTTAGAACATTTTGAAGACATCCGCTGCAGAATCATTAGAATTTATATTCTCCCGGTTTCAGTAAAATGAATCATTCTCAATAGCTCTATTAACAAAACTCAATAGACTTTTGACTGTGAGAAATGATAGGAAATTAATTTCGATACCGGTCATTGCTTATGTGAGAAAAGTACATTTTATTGTTTGAAGATTAATGTTTGACCGCGAATATTTCGAAAACTATGAGGTCCACGTCAATGTTTGTTCAATAAAAAGTATTCAGAATTTTTCGTATAAACAAAAACAAAAGTTGGTATCAGTTCCTGAAAAACTATAGATTTGGCAACATCGCGGATATCATCAACGTAACCGCCGTGGTTTCGAACCTAGACCTAAACATTTTTGAAAAAGATGAGTAGTCATTCGTCAGATATTCGCTGCGTTCCAAGCTTTTGTTACAGTCTGTATATTTAGAAATGTTGCTTCTGTACGCTTGTTCCAAGTTATTGTTGTTTGTTATTGCGACATCTATGAGAAGTGCTCCTTTATCCTTTTTCTTTTTAAACACTAAGTCAGGTCTGGTATGTTCAATTCTCTTGTCTGTAATGATAGCCCGGCCTCAGTACATTTCATATTCCTCGTTTTCTATCACTGTTTTTGCTTCATATTGATAACAGCTAATCTTGGAGCTCAACAGTTTATACTTGAGTGCTAGTTCCTGGTGTATAATTTTCCTCACATGGGGCTTGATTCTAAATGAGTTTCGACCGTTGAAATTGATTTCGATGGCGCCTTGTGACGATATGCTTGATTCGCTATGATAATTGTGACATCTGATTATATTGATCTTCTATATTCAAATTATCATGGCAGTGTCTAAATTATCAACGCTAATCAAATATATCGTCACAAGGCGCCATCGAAATCATATTCAACGGTTGAAACTCATTTAGAATCAAGCCCCTGATCCTGTCTAAATTTATATTTATTCTGCGCTGTGGTGAATGTTTTCGCTTGATCTTTTGCATCTTCAACTTCGTCTTTTAAGATGTATTTGCGCTAGTCGTTGGTCTTGATAACCTGGTCTTGGATGGCGATGAAGAACCCTTCGGTTTCTGGTTGTAACTCGCCGTGTGTCAGCCAATAGTGAGACGCTCTGTTGTCTACAGTATTTTAGCTTTCATCGTTAGGGAACCTTCCATGAAGTGCCTTTTCATTCCACCTGTTAGTTTTTTTAGGTATCTTCTATTATGCACAAGGGGTTATGGGAGTGTACTTGTCTGTTTTTATGATGGTGGCACAGCACTGAGAGTCTGGCTGTTGATGGGAAGTAGTCTCCAAGTTTAAGTAGCCGACTTCTTCCTCCGTCGGTCCTCTTCAGTGTCATTCGTTCTACTGCTGATTCGGGGTGTTGAATTCGAAGTTTTTGTCATTACAACATTTTTTTTTGTTTGTATGACCTATAGCTCCGTTTGTGTCTATTTCAGTATTCGAAACGCGTATGTGAGCAATGGCACAGCATATGTACTAGGGGGTACTACGGGGTGTTGTTTCCAATCTCGCAGTAGTCAGTTCTGATAATAGATTGGACTTTGTGGTCTTTTATTTCCATGAAACTACATAAGTAGATGTTTTGCTTCGATACCTTAAACGCCAAACTCTTACACATTATTTTCTCACATGACAAACTATGTGGTGTCACTGAGGTATTGATGTACTACTTTCTACCGTATCAGTTATTCTCATAATCACAATTTTTATTCCAGTTGCTGCTCGTCGTCGCCATTTTAACGACAAGCCTAGCAGCCCCTGCACCTGGACCTGTACCTGCTGCCAGGCCGTTGGCTGGTCCAGTGGCCAATCCAAAGGCAGACCCTCAATTTCTAGCCTACAGTGCATATGCCTATCCAGCTTATAGCTACTACAACAGTTACTATTACCCAGCATATGGATATTATGGTAAGTTATACGGATATATCTGCTGGTACAACACAAAACCATTGTCTGTTTCCAATGACTAGGTCTTTACCTTACTGATAATTGCTGAAAAGCATGAGATAACGTTGCAAACGGTTGGTTATGGTCACAGAGCCGAAAAGCAGACGTCGCCCGTATTGTGTAACTCAAGGAGTGACATTTGCCCACTTTACGAATACTTTTAAGATAAATATTCGCATCGGAACTAGCTATGATTCACTTGATGTCCACTTGTACGTGTTGCAAACATCATTACACAAGTTATGGTTTGGGATGCAACGTATATTTCAAAGATGGCACTATTGGAGGCCATTTGTAGTTCATGTGGACTAAGAAGTAACTCAAATACGAGTACTATAATTGGATGGAACCATTGTAGTGCAGGGCAATTTTTATTGTACTAATGATTTGCGTTCCGTTGGTTTCACAAAGCATGCTGGGATTTCTCCATGAATGGTGCTCACAGCGAGTACACGCGGAATGGGCTAGTGACTACTTAGTACACGAGTTGACGGTTTACTGATCTTTAATGACATGCAAACATATTTAGACTTTGTATGAGACTTTGGTGGTACACATCTGGTGACCGCATTCAAGGATCAACAGCACTTTGGTGTCCAGTTCATTCAGGAGATCGTTCAGATTACTGGCATAAAGAGCTGTCGTCTCCTAATTGCGCCCAGACACTATACTTCAAGAGTTGACAACATTTCACCGCCATTACTTTTTCTTTTACGGAAAGAGGTGCTCACCTTACCAGCAATGATGTATTCAGTAAGTATATTTGCTCTTTCCAGGTTACGGATATGCCTCTCCTTACGTCCTGGTCTAAAAGTACAGCAGCCACAAACATCTATCAAATTAAGTAACAGTTTAATTTTTGTTTATACCTATATGCCTATGTAATTTAAAGTACACAATAAATTAGTTTTCTATAAGCTACGTGTTTTTTTCCAACTTCATGCAACCAAACAATGAGTCAATATGCTTTGCACTGTGGCAGTATTAGACCCATTTTCTCTTGTTTACTTTCCGTAATTTGTCTGCAAATGACTAGACCTATGACGTACTGATCATTGCTATAAGGCATGAAGCAAAGATGTATATGGTAGGCTTTGGCTGCAGAGATGGAAAGCAAACATCATCTATCCAGCCTGTGGTTAAGGAAATGAGAAAATGGTAATAAAATAACGATATGGTCGATAGTTGCTATACTTTCTTCGTTTTAAAAAACCTCTAAATGAATTATCCTTGTAAATCATCTGGACTTCAGAAGTAATACGCACTAGAGAGATTTAAAATTAAACACCCAATATATCAGAAACTACATTCGTACTTGATATAACCAGTTATAACACACCCAGTTAATCTAATTCAGTTTTTGTAACTGGACTGTTTATGTCATGTTCTCCATGTGAAAGCCAACTGGCATATAATTAAAAAGGGAAACACCCTTGTACCTCAGGTGGTGAGACTTCCTCATTAAAACACTATTTAAAAGCAAATTAATTTCATTTAAACGCGTGTGTTACAGCTTGCGCTATCAACTTGTATACGAATCATCCTTAAATGGCTTCTGTAAAATCAAGTAATGGTGATGAGTCTCTTGGAAATGTGTGTACAATTTCGATTTCATCCATAACTTGTCCTGAAGTACCGAGTCAGGGCACGATAGAGCGTGCAATTACGGAAAAGCAGGTGAAAAATGGGCGAGCAAAAATAAGCTACTACTATTCTGGTACTAAAGGATATTTTCGGGAATACTGTGAGAGTACAACTATCCATGGCTTCAAGTACTTGTCAGAAAAACGGTCAATATGCGAGAGGTAAACTCTGTAATCTGTAGTTTTGACGATATCATTATACTCTACTATGAAATAACTATCATTTATATACTTAGTTATATTAGAAGTGTTACACTCAGAAAAAACAACTTCTATAATTCGTTTTTTTGGCTACATGGTGACTATATTAATTTAAAGCATGCTGTGGCAGCAATGTCAACGTTTTATCTTTGTTTTTGTTTACCTTTGCCTAAAATACCATCTCTTAGTTTTTGTGAAGAAAGCAGTATCTGAGAGCTGAGTAGTACAGGTATTTTTAGTTATTGCTCTTCCATTTACTAGTGTGTTAAGCATAACAAAATGCTCCGACTTCGATGACGTCCAAATTAGCGCCATGTTAGCGACTTTGACAAGGGCAGAATTATTGCTACAGCTAATCCACGAAGTTCCAGTTGCTTGGAATAAGGTGTCACAACCAGACATCGATTATCTCATTTTGTCCGTGCCTAGACGTAATTTGGAGTTCATTCAGCTGCCGGGTCGCCCAACACATTATTAATTTTGTTTTCTTACTACATTTCAATAAAATTTCGTGGGAATGTTATCGTTTCATTCTTGATGTAAGACTCCCTCATTGCCAAAAAATCAAGTTGAAAAAATAATTTTTTTCTGGGTGTATCACATCTGTCACTGAGTACACTTTCTGTGGGCTGACATTATTTCAGAGTTTTTGATATAAATTGGTCAACAGAAATCAGGCTCTAGGGAATACTGCTTTTAAACTCTAACATATACCATCCAAAATCCATCGCTTAGATATCAGTCAAAAGTACTAAGAATTTAGTTGATCAACTTTTGATATTCAAATTAATGTTTGAATTGCACTAGGCCAAGCGCACGGCAGAGCTTGACAAGCCCTTGCAATTGCAACTTTTAAAATGCAATTCTTTACGACAAATCTCGGCTGGCGATTTTTGCAACATTTAATACTGCGTATGACGTGAGTCTGTTGCCTTCTTTGTGATTGCGACACTACTCAAATGATGATACTTACTTAACTGACTATATCGAGCCTTTTCCGGCTCATGATACAGCACACATCTCTCGAACATTGAAATCAATGGTCAAATAGCAATGATTATGCTGTTGTTGCGCAGACAAGCAGTTATACAGGTTGTCGCATCGAAAACGAAACAGACGCATTTACCGGCAGCTCAATTTTTTTTTGGAAAAACACTCAGGCTCGTCGATTTTGTTTTCGAGGGGGACACAAGTTTGGAAAAAAATCACGTTAACACGTGCAGCCCCCTGGTCGGGGGTGACACCAACCCTAAAATCTTAAATGGAAAGGGGGGGGGGTCGAGTGATACCTCATTTTAAAGGTCTTAATAGGTAAATGCTTTTCTTCACTACGCCCATGGTTTGTTTATCATTTTGTTGTTGAAAATAGCTATTGGAGCGTTTTTTTGTGGCAAAAAAGTTATTTCTTGAAGAAAGATAAGGAAATATCTCGTACTTATTTTAAATAGGAATTTAGTACACAGTTTGCGATTGATTTGACCAAACTTTGTTGCTAAAATAACTTATATCGCTTTATTACATAAATTAACCATGGTATATTCCACAGCAAAATTATCGAAATATTTTTCGAACATAATCAGTGCGCTAATAGAACAGCAGAAATATTTAATGAGCGACATGGGAATAGTAACGTGCATCAAAAATATGTTCTAGAACTTGTAGCTAAATTTCGGGAAACTGGGTCAGTCGCTAATAGAAAACGCAACATTGAAAATCCCATAAGGAACGAAGCAATAGAAATGGGGGTTTTAGGGCAAGTTTATGTAGATCCTACGTTAAGTACCCGCAAATTAGAGACTGTGTGTGGTGTTATTCGACGTACTGTCCAACGGATTCTAAAGGCCCATAGTTTTCATCCGTAAAAAATTCACCTGGTACAAGAACTTAATGAAGGCGATTTTGATCGGCTATTACAATTTTGTGAATATGTAAGTGAACGAATTATGAACGATGAACATTTTCTAGTCAACACCTGATTTTCCTACGAATGTTTCTTTTTCTAAAATGGTGTAGTAAATCGTCATAACTGCCGATATTGGTCCGATTCTAATCCCAGAATTTATCATGAGGTTCATACACAGCAGCCATAAAAATTAAATGTTTGGGCTGGCATTTTTGGCGATCATTTAGTTGGTCCTTTTTTCTTACCTGAAAATTTGATCGGTGAAATATATTTGGAATTACGGGAAGACGCCATAGATCCGGCATTAACAGCCATAATTGAAAATCAGAATGATCGGCGGTACATTGCGAATAGGTTGATGTTCCAACAGGATGGTGCCCCACCACATTACGCATTTCGTGCTCGACAATATTTAGATCAGACGTCTTCAGATCAATGGATTGGTGGAAGAGGTGCCATTGAATGGCCCTCGAGATCGACAGATTTATCACCTTTCGGTTTCTTTATGTGGTGTCATTTAAAAAGCAAAATCTATACTACTCAGCCAACATCATTAGAAGACCTGCGACAGAGAATGAGTGCCTTCAAATTACTTCTCAAATATTGCAAAATGTGCGGCAACGTTTTGAGCAAAATCTTTATTATTGCATGGAGAGTCATGGTGGCCATTTTCAACATTTACTTGCCTAACGGGTCAGTTCATTCTTGATTTTTAAATTACTTTGCTGCCAAATGTATTGATCTCCACTAATGATGATGTATTAGTTTTATTTAAGCTTTAAATCAATAAACCTTCAAAACTACTGAACAGTAGTACATTAATTTTATATCATTATAAAGGGAATTGAAAGACCTTTAAAATAACGTATAACTCGACCACCCGCTTAGGGGGCTGCACGTGCTAAAACTTGTGTCCCCCTCGAAAACAAAATCGACGGGTCTAAGCGTTTTTCAAACAAAAACTGAGCTGCCAGTAAGTGTGTCTGTTTCGTTTTCGATGAGCCACTCTGTATATGATATTCATGCTCTCCGTAACATCTTGTTGCAAAAGTATTAAAGCATATGGTGAAGGTCAGACCTTCGTTATTTGATAAAATCTGAGTTTCTCTGTGCGCAACAAAGGTAAGCGACTATGAAATTTGGTGGTTACTTTGAGGCGTAACACGTAGCAAAGGTATATAAAATACTATCACAAATTCTCTAAAGTACAAAGCCCAGCTTTTTTATATTTTCTTCAAAATAATATTAGGAATGACATCTATTTTCGGATGGTACAGTTTTAATTCCCTGCCAGATACCCTAAAACATTAAGAAATTGTTGTTAAACTTTCGTCATAGTATAAAAGCTGAAATTGATACAGGGTGACTTCTAAGTTGAGTCATTTATTTTAACAGTGAGTAGATCTGATCAAAAGAAATGTTTTTTTCCTTTAAGATTTTTGTGGTAAAATAAAAGTAACAAAGTTATAGCCCTTTAGAAGTTTGAGTACCGCCCTGTCTCAATAATAATATTATTCTGTGCTCGTGTTTGGCAACAACGGATATAATCCGGCTTATCGGTTCATCGCAAACAAAAAAGCGAAAAGAATTTGAAACGCTGATCACGATGTTTTTATTCAGTCTGTGTCAGTCGCTAACGCGTGAGTGAATAGTGGTTTGCTGCGTGGCTCAAACGAAATAAAAAATGGCACATGTTTATGCGGATCGGTTTCCCAATCGAGTGCAACCAACCCCTCGTGCCTTTGTTAATGTAGTACAACGGGCTCGTGAATCAGGTGACTTAAGACCTCACAGGGGACAAGACCTCACGATCAAATACAGGTCCGCACTGAAATACTTGTCGGGAGGATACTTTATAAAACAGGTAACATTTATTTTAATTTTTTTTTTATTTTTACACACATATTTTGGTTTATCTTCCTTCTACAATCATTATCTGAAAACTAATGACTCAACTTCAAAGTCACCCTGTATATGCTAATTGGGGGACTACGAAAAGATATTACCCTAGTAGCTAGACAGTTTTAGATGCCAACAAATCTACTAGAATTGACTATATGGCAGCAGTATTTATCAAAAAATGTAAAACGAATTTATACAAACCTCTTAATTTAATTTACACCTCTTTAGAATTTAACACATTTCCCGATGCTTGGAAGGAGTCTTCCGTTATCACTATTTTTGAGAGTGAATACAGGTACATGTCAGACAAATAACTACAGGACTATTGGCAAGCTGGGCATATTCTCTAAGACGTTTGAGAAGATAATTGATAACCAATTTCTTTTGATGTAAAAAACGTAATCATTCAGCAACAGCATGGATTTTTACGAACAGGTGCCTTGATACCAATTTGCTTTGTGTTTCTGGCTTCGTTCCCGATGCTTTGGACATAAATTTCTATTTATACCAACTTCAGCAAGACTTTCGATCGAGTTAGTCATAATTGGCGACATCTAACCACATTTTAATACCGTATATACCTTTCCCAGCATGATTCTTTCTCTTTTTTTTTTGTGAATCCTGCACAATGTGTAGGTTGGCGACTTCTTGTGTCTCCATCTTCGTTTCCTCAGGTTACATCCGTATCCTGATGAATGGGCATATGTGTCTACTGTTGTAGTTATATATGTGCATTCATTTCGGGCATGCTGAAGCCAACAAGCAGAAATTCGTCTTGCTCGGGTTACCTATCCTTTTTTCCTGCTCCAGTCCAGTTTCCTTCTTTTTGCCGAATTACCCGTTATATTTTTCTATTTATTAGAATCTTATATATTTTAGAATACTCTGGCTGCTCTTGATTTCGCTGTCGATATCAGCATGTGGGTTTCTGATCAGCAGGATATACAACAGATTCATAACAAGCCCAGTTATAGTAAGCTTTGCAACCAAAGAGTCTCCGTTGTATTCCATCCCATTTCCAGCTGTCACTATTTGCCCTATGACCAAAGTGAAAAAATCCGTCTACGATTTTACTAGAATCATTTATAGGGTTGAAGATATGAGAAGGATAACTCATCAAGAGTAAGTTATTTAATCAGCCTGTTATTATGGATAATGTAGTGAGCGTAACTGCAGTGTTGGCAGTTTTGTACCCAGACATATACAGTCGGGTGTCCCAGAAAAACGAAATGAATGAAGTGGTGTTTCTTGAAGCACATAAAGGTTTTCACCTGACCATTAACGCAAATTCCGTTTGTTGACGAAGCCGTTTAGCCAAAAATGCGCCTCATCAATGAAGATGATTTTGCGATGAAATTGGTCATTTTGTTGCAACATTTCTAGAGCCCAATTCGAGAACGTCACGTCGGTTCATATGATCGAACTGCTTTAGTTCTTGAGTTAACTTGATTTTACAAGTGCACAGGCCAAGATCACTTCGCAAAATTCGCCAGAGTGTGGCCTGAGCGATGCCCAATTCTTGAAAACGCCATGGAATCGACGTGTTCTATTCGTTTGCAACGGAAGCATTATTCTCGGCACTTCGAACAACCTGTTGTCTCACTGATACGGGAACATCCAGCAGCATATGTGGACACGAACTTTTTTTACTGGACTATGAATTGCTTGTTTATTGGTATGAGAATTACGACCAAAAATTGGCGTTAACGCTCTTAAAGTTGCAGGCACCTACTCGGAATTTCGCTAGTAAATTTCAATTATTTCGTTCGTGTACTTCACGACGATGAAAATGTTTTGACATTGACAGTTCGGTAATTTATTTAAAGGTGCATTCACAGTGGAAGTTCAAAGTCGTCGAGTCCCTATTGGAAAACCTGATATAAACAAAATATACTAAGTGACATATAAATCCGAACACCCAGTTTAAATGGTTTTACTTTAATAAAAGTTGGTGAATGTATTTATCTTACTGTAAATAACAAGTGAAAAAATTTTCAGCCTTATCAGTTGGACATTCCGGTTTTTATACTGCTTTCTTTTAATTCAGTAACGCTGAAGGTGCATTCACAGTGGAAGTTCAAAGTCGTCAAGTCCCTATTGGAAAACCTGATATAAACAAAATATACTACGTGACATATAAATCCGAATACCCAGTTTATATGGTTTTACTTTAATAAAAGTTCGTGAATGTATTTATCTTACTATAAATAACAAGTGAAAACATTTTCAGCCTTATCAGTTGGACATTCCGGTTTTTATACTGCTTTTTTTAATTCAGTAACGCTCTAAAAATGAATATTTCAGAAGCAGTAAAGAATCAACGTTGGCGGATTTTGGTTCTTGACATCCTTTACGATCGGTTACGATGCCTAGAGTACGGAGACCTGTACGATTTCGTCAACTTAGTGAGTTTGATAGGGGCCGTATAGTGTGACTTCGGGAAGCTGGACCTTCTTTTCGGGCAATTGCAGCTGGAGTGCAAAGAAGTGTAGACACTGTGGTTAGGTGTTGTCAGGCATGGCTTCGAGAAGGCCGTACGCAAAGAGCAAGGGGCACTGGACGCCGCCGTAGAACAACAGACCGTGAAGATCGTCGCCTAAGATTATTGGCCTTAAGGGACCGTTTCTCCACTACCAGGTCCATTGCAAATGAATGCTTTGCAGAACACGGAAGACCTATTGGCATGCGAAGTGTTTACCGACGAGTGAGAAGTTTTGGCTTGTTTTCATACCGGCCACACTGGGTCCTCCCTTTAACTCGAGAACACCGACGTAATCGCCTTGAGTGATGCAGACAACGGTCACTCTGGGATCAGGAATGGAACAGTATTGTCTTTAGTGACGAGTCTCGATTTTGTTTAGGCATGCACGATGGTCGTGCCAGGGTTAGAAGGCGACATGGTGAAAGGAGGAATCCAAAGTTTTTTGTTGAAAGACATGTTCATCACACTGTTGGAGTTATGGTTTGGGGTGCTATAGCTTATGGTTCCAGGTCACCTTTAATCTTCATCAGAGGTAACATGAACGCGCAGCGTTATATCTACGAAGTTCTAGAACCCCATCTTTTACCCTATCTTGACACCCTGGCAGATCCAACTTTCCAATAAGATAATGCCCGACCACATGTTGCAAGAGTCACAATAGACTTCTTTCAACATAATGATGTCACATTGTTACCATGGACACCAAGATCTCCCGACTTATCCCCAATTGAGCACGTGTGGGATATGATGGGTAGGAGATTGCTCAATTTTCAACGTCCTCCTCAGACTCTAGAAGCACTTCGAGAGGAGTTGGTGGTTGCCTGGAATGAGATACCACAGGAGGACATTGACCACCTGATCAGAAGCATGCGTACGCTCGTTGGAGAATGCGTAGCACAACAGGGTGCATCCACACATTATTAAAGGTCAAAGGGCTTTAAAGCAGTGCAATCATTTTGAAATTTTTATCATATACTTACTATGCTTCATTAAGTACTTATACAAAATTTTATTAAAATAAAACCATTTAAACTGGGTGTTCGGATTTATATGTCACTTAGTATATGTGAAATTTACCAAATGAATACAGAGTATTTTTCTTCAATTCTGATTATGACTTCACTGCCGTTTAACCGCAAATTAGCTTTGTTATTTCAAACGGGTGTTTCAAACTGGACCGTCATCATTGGGATCTCGGAGATTGTAAGAGATCCAAAGTTACTTGACAAAAGACAAAGTTGCGTGTTTGAGTAATCAACAAAATTCCGTTTAGAAAGTTTCAAAATTCAAAGTACTTCCGGAGAGAGACAGAAAAAACGGAATTTTCCAATTTTTTTTCCTGACTTTATTTGAAGTGAGATGTCAAAATAAATCACACACTTACATTGCCACTATTTCTTCTCTACAAGATGGCATAATTAGAATTTCAATATGACGTTACGTCTCTTGTCCTCCAGCACCAACTTTATTTTTCCTTAGGGACGCCATATTGAATTTTTGCGCAGATGGAGAGTTTTTAATTTTGCTTTCAAAAATATGTAATATTCGCCAAACCTCACTCAATCCAGAAAAACAGAAGCCTCTAGCCAATACTATCAAATACCATTTGTTTCGTATACCAGACCAGACCTCAAGTTGAACATAGCAACAGAGTTTGAAAGGCCCAGAAGAAGAGAAATAAATCGAGCAGTGAACAATATCCATAGAAGAGTCAGTCGTTACCTCCAAAATAATGGACATTTTAAACATCTCCTATGATTTAAGGCGGCTCCGACGCAGTGAGTTTCAAGGCATTTACAAGAGTTCAGCTGCTTCAAAACTGACAGTCCATTTTTCAATACTTTTGAATGAAATTGATACAGTACGTTGAGAAGATAATTGCGCAGGGTGCTACAGGAGCACTTTTCGAAATTTTGTTTTTGCACAAGTTTTATGATGGGTTGAAGTGCGCACTTTTTCTGTTCAACTTAACTTAACTTAAAAAGAACCTAGTGAAAAAAATGAATAAGTGGCTCTATAGCACCCTGTGGGGGTTTGTTTTCAGCAGTGAAAATTTCATCCAAAACTATCAAAAAATAAAGCGTCAATTTTGTAGAGCGCAAACCTCTACAAATCGCATTTTGGACGAATTTTGTCTACTGTTTCGTGCTGCCAAACCAAGCGTTGCGGCGCAATGTACAGACTAAGGCCCGTATCGTCAGTCGTCCCTACAATTGTAGGGCGCCTTTATGTTCTCCTTGATTGTCATAGTTTTCTACTTCTCCGTGTCAGAACTCTATTTTGAGGTTATGTCACAAACATCTATTTGCATCAAATTGTGCTTGCTTTTGAGTTATATCATGTTTTATCAGCCTGAAATTTCCTACAATTTAAAAAGAAAATATATCTTCACAATAGGAGAGCGCTCACGCTGACACGGGACAAGTGTAATCTAGAAATTTTTGAAGGAGAGAAAGGAGTATGACAATCAAGGAGTCCATAAACGCGCCTTACAATTGTAGGGACGACTCACGATACGGGCCTAAGAAAGGACGTATTCAGATAATTTGGTGGCCCTATTTCATATAATATCGCGTAGATAAGTCGTTCTGCACATAGGTACTCATAATCGTGATCGCTGATACTCCTCGACCTTAAAGCCGTTTTACTTCCCACGTCATTGGCGAGGAAGTATTGTAATCGCGAAAAATTTCTAAAATGAGATGTTATGTTTTTTTAAGTCATATGACATCTATATCACGAAAAACTATCACTCATCATCATCATCAACTTGGAAATTACCGCTCGGATTTTTATGAAATTTCCACACGCGGTTACTAGTATGCCAAAGCTTTGTTGTTTTAGTCCAGTCGAAACGGTGCTATAGGCAAAAAAGAAAAAGTAACAATTGCTGAAACTCCTTTTTTGACGTTTCAGCGTTTCAGGGGTTCCTAATAATTGACATACAACATTTTACTGCTTAAAGGGGGGGGGGGGGTTGAAATCAGTGAAACACGTTCTATTAGTAAGTAGCTTCTGATCCCAGTGATTACAGGAATTTAAGTATCGAAAATCCGACGAACAATGTGCTCACGATTTCAAAAAATCGGTACCTGCTCTATAGGTTTGACACCAACAGCCAACAGATCTGCAACTACCGATATCACTCCAGTCAAGTATAGAGGAATTTAGCGTGGAACTTTAAAATTATCAATATATCAAGGAAATATGTTTTTGAGAACAATCATTTGGTAGATTTTATACCTGCATTTTCATTTGAATTTCATAACCCGTGAAATGTACCCATTTCGCCGTTACCTTTTGTATTCTAAAGTTTGTGATGTTTTTCTGGATATAAGCTGGCCATAATTGCCTAGGGTGCTATCAGAGCTTTTTACAAAATTTACAAAAAAAGGTGGGTTGAAATGCCCACTACTTGTGCTCAACTTTTTGATATTTTAAAAAGATCCTAGTGGATAAAATCGAAAAAGTGGATCGCTGGCACCCTATGGACTTAGTTTTTAGCACGCTGCAAGAGTATGGAAATAATAAAAAGTAAGCTGTGAAGTGCAAATCGGTTTTTGGGCGAAATTCATCCTCTGTTTCGTCCTGCCAGTCCAAGCGACGCGACGGTGCGTTCCAACTAAGAAAAAATGTATTCAAATAATTTTATATCTTTCCTAAAATAAATTCAAGAACTCAAATTCTAATTCGTTTATTCATGTCAATAAACACAATTATGTTTACAAGGGTCGTGTGGTAGATGGTAACAATTGAACGAGGGTCATAAAAATATCCCGTCAAAATAAGAGGAAACAGTTACGTAGTTTTTGCAAAGCAATAAACAGGTAGGCTTATACCTGGATTAAGTACATGTCTTGTCTACTGTAATAGGTAGATGGATGTGATGCTGCCAGAAATGGATGTGTGCGATCAACAAACAAACCACAAGATTGAACTGCCGTGTCCAATGATTTTTGTATTGCCTTTTTTTATTGCCTTACTAGAAAACTCTGTTGGGTATATGATCGAGTTTACTAGAACTTTACAGCTTGTTGTCTGCCTTGTTCTACGCCAACATTCTTGCTTAGCAACCTCCAAATCAATGTAGTTAATGTCAGGTTTTGACTGAATTCGCCATAAAACTATTCATTTTCTTTGGAATTGCTATCCGAACTGTTATTTATTTTTATATCAGCTGTTTTTGATCTGAGTTTCTTTTCAAGATTCTTGCGTTTGAGTCTTTGTTCCATCTTAGTGATAAGCGAGGTTGGACTAAGCTTAGAACGCAAATGTATTTGGACCACATAGACAGGCCGCTCGGTATTGTGGCTCACTACAGCTGTAGGACATCTTCCATGGTTTGACCTCTTCTTGCAATAATTTATTTGCTTACCCCAATGTATTTTGCGATTATAGAGTTGAACTGCTCCACACTACTGTTGTCCTCATCATGAACTAAACTCACTGAATTCGTAATTAAAATTGTCGCATATGACCTTTTATTGTCCATTATCAACCTTGATAAAAAAGTCACTCAAGAACAGTCACACCAACAAGAGTACAACACAACAATTCAACAACACAATATCGACGAACAGTAACAAGGGTAGAACGATGAACGAATGATCACTAGCTGAGCACCAAAATATGAAACGATTTACAGGCTAGATCGCTAATCGAAATCCGATTCTGTTATTATAAAAATTTACCTCGGTAGGCACCCGCAGTCATCCTTTCCTCTTTTATAGTAGCGCCGACTACCGTCTAAGACCAGCCCACAATCGTTTCCTTTTCCAAACTGTGGGAATAAACAGCGTACTGATTTATTGCATTGTGTATCGTGTGATTGCATGTAGATCAGGCGTTCTTATTGGCGGTACCTAATCTTCATGCAATGGAGATAAGAAAGCATTTTTTTACTAAAAAACGGCCATTAGACAATGAAGACTACCCTACTGGTAACAATCCTAGCTGCTTTGCCGAGGCAAAAAGTTTGCCAACCCTTTCAAAGGCACAGGACGTGAATATCCAAGTAACTGATCTTGATCTACCGAAAATAGGTGAGCCCGTAAAGCAAATTACAGGGTACTCATAACCTAAATGATTTTTTTGTGATGGAAACCCTACCAAATACCCAGGAAGACACCGAAGACTGTAGTTTACATCTAACGCTTCTTCAGTTGGAAGAAAGGTTTTCGGACACTGACGACCTATTGATGGCCATTAGTAGCATTGAAGAATTTGATTTGATAAAACTTCAACCTCTCAAAAGACTTGGTAAGAGGTCATTTTAAATCACCCAAAATTATATAACTATAACTATTATTATCGTCAGAGGTATCGAGCTACCATCTATTGAAGAGTTGTCGGTTGTTAAAGATTTCGTCGCCATGGAACAAAAAGAAAGTATATTCTCTAAGCTTTACAAACATAGGGAAGCCTTTAGGGCAACGTATCAGCTCTTTGCAACAGTTGCTACTTTCGCTTGCAGCACGGCACTTTGTGAATCTTCTTTCTCTTCGTTGACAGCAGTCAATCGACCTGAAAGGTATTCAATGCATCATCAACGAATGGCTGACCTTTCCTATTTAGCATTTGAACGAAGAAGAGTCGCTGCCCTAGACCTAGATTTGTTTCTTCGAAAATTTCATAGTTGTGCTAATATAAAGCTCCCCCTATTTTAAACATTCAAATCAGGGTATATTTAAAAGATTGTGTTTAGCTGTTATATTTTTTCGGGTTCACTGTATTGGTAGTTTATTTGATGAATTTAATAATAATAATAATAATAATAAAAACTGATAAAATAAATAGTGATTTTTTATTACACTATTAGATATTGTTGACATTAGTAATGCGCATTTCACGAGAAATACTGGTGGTCATATAACGTGCAACGAAGTTACGTTTCACGAGTAGACAGGATAAATATACGCTGTTTTTTTCAGAAATACAAATACTTGATAAGTACTTGATGTATAATAATTCGAGTTCCAAATAAAATGTCACCCGGACCATAATTAGTAATGCCCTGGTACCAACGCAGGTCTGGCTACGGCCCTGTTTAGACTACATAACGTAGTACCCTCGTAGCTCACTAAGCCCCCACGATTTCAAAGCGCACACGCAGCGAAGGAAAACGGCACCGACCCCTACCTTCCTTCTCTCTGGCTACCTCATTTTCTTCAAGTCCAAGTTATTGCAATAATTGGGTGATACATAGGGAGAGAGGGAGCTATATTGGTTCAAAAATTACCATCCGTTACATGGTAATAAGCAAATAACGTAATAACATAGTTATGTTTAAGGTGTGGCGACTTGGATCACCCCAAATGCCGCTTGAGCAAACCTATTGTTTGACAAAAGAGATTTGTGACGTATCTCAAAAGACGCACTCCAGCCCGCCGCGAGCCTGGGACTACTATAACCGTCTTCATATATGTATAATCTTATGCCTGCATCGTTAGTAGCATTTTGGGTAAAAGACTGATAGCTCAAACAATTATATCTTGATCTCTTATCACACCCTAAGCTAAGCCCACAATAACATGATGATTGAGTGTTCATAGGCGGCCAGTGAGGAGGAAGGTAGGGGGAGCGCGGTGCCGCTTTCCTTCGCTGCGTGTGCGCTTTGAAATCGTGGGGGTTTGGTGAGCTACGAGGGTACTACGTTATGTAGTATAAATATTTACTTTAACGAGGGCGGAACATAATTGATATACTCGTAGAACTTAGATATGTGACCATATGTTATCTAATTATTTTGAATTATGGTTAGGGCGGATCTAGCCTTTGAGTCAGTCGCGTAGTCAAGGTCTGGTCAGAACTGAATCCTATATACCTACACAGAAACATCTTATTTTTCTTCTACTGGACACGTCACTGATGAAACGTTTTGTTAACATTATTTTTATAGTTGAACTGAATCCACAGAACAATATACATACCCATTTCTTTTACTTTCTTTGACATGCTTCATTCTTTTTCAGACAGCGTAATGGACATTACTTGTCCTTACTATGTCGCCATGGTCAAAGGTACTTTCATAAGTCGTCAAAATTCTCTAACAACTTTTATGAAATAATTGATCGGGTAAGTAGCATTGTATGTGAACCGTGTGGCACTAAACCTCACCGCAACGACGGCGACGGTTGGATGATTTTTAGTGAAAACTGAATGCTCTAGGCTCTAGGTTCTACGGGTTATATGCTTAATTCCCTGGAATTGCGCTTAAAACGGCCTTTGAAATGACTTATTAGGCGCTCACCACCCCAGGTCACAGACATATTTCTCGTGTCCGCAATATTAAGAAATCTACTTCAAACAGGTGAATGTCTCTTAGATGGCGCTATGGCCAACTGTGTGAGCATATATGAGCATATGCATAGCCACCGCGCCATCTATGAAACATTAACCGTTTCAATGTAGTCGTCAAATTACAGCAGACAGGATCAAGGAAAATTTTTTTGATGCCTAAATACAGAAGATGGTTGGCTACCTTCAGGTAGATTACTGGTATGAGGGCCACTTTTATGGTGAGAACTGATTGCGCATCGGGGCCCCGCACACTGCCTGTTCAACCTCAGACACCTTTGGCCAATCTCTCACTACGCAACGGTTACGTTTCACATCTCTGTCGGTGTTGGTTACGTGGTTATACTGCTTTGTTTGTCGCCACGTCAGTCAGCGCGCTGAGTAGTTCGGTTTTTAAATCGGTAATTTGTTGTTACTGAAGCTTGCTATTCAAAGCCGCCGATGCCGGCGGAGCCTGGTCTCTAGCGGCATCCTTCTGCTTCACGACAACGCTCAGCCTCAGGTTATGGCAAAGACACAGACGCAACTGGACAAACTTCGTCGGAAGTAACTGGATCATCCACCATACAGCTCTGACTTAGCACTATCACAACTTTGTCCAAAACTTAAGGAATTTCTTGGTGGCAAGCGCTTGAAAAATGTCATGTTGATGAAAACAGTTACTAACTGGTTTAATGGTCAGGCGACAGCGTTTTTGACAATACAAAATCTCGTGACATGAACTGACAGATGTTGAAACGTTTGTGGTCCCTATATTGAAAGATGTTCGTATTTTAGCTTGTGGTACAATTTACATTGATAAACAAAGTTTCTCTGAATCCATTACTAAAAAGTTAATACTTAAAAAACGACCCTCATAAAAAAAGTTTCATTACATACTATGCACCCCTAATCGCTATCTACTGTAACATCATTTTTCCTTTCCAAATAGAATAAGGTGCTAATTGACGTCAGCCTCTGAGTTACTATAGCTTTTTATAAGAGGTCTCGATCAAAGGGTTCATGTAAATATTATTTTATTGTAAAAAGGGTCAATAATTTCCATTAGCATTGCCATTGAAACAAAAATGTATTCTCATTGTAGATGAAACTCAATCTTAGTGAATACACTGAGGAGTGTCAGGTAGGAGTGAATGATCCAGAACCCTGTGAAAAGCTTTTCCAACCTATAATTCTAGATGAAGGTATTTGCTATACGTACAATATGCTGGATCGAACAGCTATCTTCAGGGATGAAGTGTAAGTAGAAGTAACGAGGGTAAAGTTATTGGTTTTGCGGATGATGCAAAATTTTTCGCTATAAAAGTAACCAGTGTCATAATGCGGGGGTTCAGTGGGAAAGTTTACATTTCAAATTTGAATTACGCGGAAGCCGTATACGTGAGGAAGTGGAGAGAGGTCTTGATCGACACGTTCGGTGCGCGGGTTAAATGGTCACAATGGAATGTTGGACCGGAGCCTAACGTGCTTTTGCTATCGAGGATTTCTTTAATAGTGGTGATTCATACGCTGCTATCCTTCGGAATGAAATTAGGTTTCTTCAGGTTTTTGTCATTACTGTACTAGAACTATCAGGAGGTTGCGCAGAAGAAACTGACGTGTTCGGGTTTCTGCTTGATTACTATCGTATCGTTTTAGCACTGAAATTTGGTGTTCGCGTTGTATACTGGTTCAGTTCTACGATGGTTCGAGAATCGTTCAGGCAGTTCTTGCTTTACTGCCGGGACCATTTTTGAACTAATTTTTCACGTGCGTATTCCTTCTGTCAATATCATTAAAATTATTTGACGTATTTTGCCTCAAATGCTGTTTACTTTTTCGCGATTTGAGGAGTGTTTTTTTATGTAAAATTAAAAGGAAATTAGATCCAACACAGATGATTTTGGATTCTGATTCGTCATCATCATCGTCGTCTGACATGATGAACTTGAAGCAGTTACACCCAGCGTACAAAACTTTTGTGAAAACTTTATAAGAAAGAAGTGTGGTTATAGTTACTGACAATAATGTTCTCTCCACTTATCTTCTTTGTTCCGTAGTCCTGGGTTCAGGCTGTTTAGGTTTTGACAAAATTCTGATAGTTCACGGAGTGTGCATAACCGGTTGAGAGATCTTCCCCTTTAGGCATTTAGTCTTGCGCAGTTCGAAAACCGTTCTGTGACAGTACTGAATTTAGAACTTGAAAACAGCTATTAAGAGGTTCCGTGAGACAGGCTCTACTCTTAGTCAACCCATTCCTGACCCCACACCTACTGTATATACCGAAGGAAAATGTATGTCGAGTAAGTGACTCGATCATTGCAAATCCTCTTCGTTCTGTACGGAAGCATTCCGCTGCTTTGGTAATCCCTAGGTCAACACTGCATGGTACAATGAAGAAAAAATTAGTTCACATCCTTATAAAATCCAAGCAGTCCATGGTTTGAAACTTTAAAGGAAGACGATTACGTATCACGGAAATCTCGTGCTAAACGGATGAGGAGTCTGTTTACTACGCAGCGCAGACTCGAAAACGTTGTTTTCAGTGACGAGGCCTATTTTCACTTAGATGGTTATGTGAACAAGCAAAATTGCAGATATGGGACACCAACGAACCAAAAGAGAAACATCAATAACAGCTACATAGTCTAAAGGTGACTGTTCGGTACGCCATACCCTCTAGCGGTATTATTGGGCCGTATTTCTTTGAAGATGCATTGACAGTCAATTCCAAGCGATACAACGACATGATTGACACTTTTTTGCACCTATTATAAAAACAGAACATCGACTTAACAGAAACACGTGGTTTCAACAGGATTGGACCACTGACCATACTTCCAGAGAATCGATGGACACGGTGGAAGCACAGTTTCCTCAAAACGTTATATCGAAGTTTGGAGACATCCACTGGCCTCCTAGGTCACCTGACCTCACGCCATGTGTTTATTTTTTGTGGGGTTATCTAAAGTCAAAAGTGTATTCCAATAATCCACGAACCCTGGAGGAGTGTTAAGACAACATTCGACAACAAATAAACATCACGCCGGAACTCTGCAAAGGAATGATATTTAAGAAATAAAACTCGCCAAACTTACTAAAAATTCTCTTTTCATTAGGTTTGTATTTTTTTTCTTAAATCAAAAAGGCTCTCACTGCAATTTAGTAAGCTTCAATTTCATACAAGCGGTGGTCATAAAGAGATTTAGTCAACCGATAAAATAGAATACGTAGAAGTCGTAGTTTTGGACAAACGCTTAAAATGGAACGCCTATACAGAATAGCTGGTGAAGAGACTGAGATGTATAGTTCCAAAATTCAGATACCTCAGAGATATTCTGGAAAAGAAATATCTATACCATCTTTATTATGCTCTTGTTTATCCTCTACTACTCTACGGAATTTTGGCATGGGGGGCATTATGAATAATAATTATAAAAAGGTTTATGTAATCCAAGAATCAATTCTAAAATTGATCCTCCGTAATTAGATTACTTATCAAAGCCATTCTCTTAATACGGAGGATCGACTATTAGATTGCAGACAAATTTATTTTTGGAGTACGTCAAACATTCGAAACACTTGAATCCCTTTTTTTCTTGGGGCCAACATTATAAAACTTCATACCAGAGTCATTAAAAGCAGTTAGATCGTTTGAAAAAGAACTCAAGAAATGGATTTTACAACAACCAATATGCGCCATCCATGAAACTGTAGATATGAAAGATCATTATCAAAACCAATAATATATGTTTTACATATATATACACTAATATTGACACTTTTACTTTAGTTATAATTATCTGGATACTTTTCCTGATATCCCCATGATATTTCAATTCACCAAATTAAATAGTATTTATATTTTTCAGTCATTGATTGTACTTTTAGTTTCAGTTTTAACAAACCCAAGCGCAAGTGCAAACCTTTCTGGGTGCTTTATGTTTGTTGTGCACGATATTTAGGATTTGCCTGTACTTTGTGGCAATAAATATTATATTATTATTATTATAAAATGTCACAAGTTCTTGGTCTGCGAGGTACCTATACGAAAAGATAGACACCTGATATGAACATTGGGAATAGTTTTTTAAACGATTTCTGAACAATTCCGAGCAATTCATCGAAACTTTTCCAGCATAGTAACCAGTTTGCATCTGGTGACTATAGCTGAATTATTTTGCAAGCGGTTCTAGTTGTGGTTGATATAAAAATGATAATTCCTTGTGGGATCACACGAGCTAATCCCGCTTGACATTCTTGTGGGACTTATATAGTATTCTATTGACATACTCGGCTGATAAAGTGAACAAACGTATTTTTTCCAAAATTGTTGATTTTATTCAGCCCTGAGAAAAAAGAAATCCCGATAAATTATTACAAAACTACGTATCGTCTATTTGCAGGTATCGATTCAAAGATTATCACAAAAATGAAAACACGGTGAATTGGGACATTGACAATGGATATACCTTCAACGATAGTACACCTGATGGTTCATTTTTGAATTACCCTAATAATGCATATCTGTCTGGATATGAGAATGGCTTGCACATCACGTTTAGGCAATCAGCTAGTGAACTGGACTACTTGTGCTCACCAAATTCACAAGGATTTAAAGTAAGTACGGTAGTGCTCTACTGGTTGTGGTCGGTGATTCTATGCACGAAGGAATATTTATCATATAACTGAATAGAATGTTTTCCATCTTTTCGAGCATAAGCAAACATATATAAAGTTGTTTCATACACTTTAGCAATTATCACGGAAAGCAAACAAGCGAAAATGGGTATACTAAGTAGAGTAGCGAACAAAAAATATAATAATAACAATAATAGATTGCGTTGACACCCTTTAGCCTGTTATAGATACGCTATCCAACACCGCCGAAAAGAACGGGATTGCCTTTTCAAAATCAAAAACCGTTGCACTACGTTAGGGTACGAACATAGTGGAGCGACGAGGTTTCAGATTCAGATAGAGGCTAACCGCGCGGTTTGCCGCTATGTGAGTCAAAAACACAGGTTGAAACCTGTCGGGCCATAGTAGCGCGATAAGGCATGCGTCGAGTCTCTAGGAGGTTTCGAGCGACGAGTTTTAAATAGTTGCATTCAATTTTTGTCACGCGTTTTCAAGCGATTTAATAATGGATGTTGTGCAATTAATAAATAGTGTATATCACAGAAGGGCTATATGGGATCAGAGTCATCCAGATCATCGCAACCGATACGTGCTAGATAAGTTATGGGAGGAGGTAGCCACTGAATGCAATAATCAGTCGGGTAAGTAAATAATTGTATTTTATACACATTTCAACAGCTAGAACTTACATCTTGCGGTAAAATTTTAAGCTGTCTCGTAACTGATTGGAAAGAAATTAACATAGTTACAGAAAATGTCGCGAACTCTTTGACCTTCACCCAGTTGCCTTCCTCTAGGTAATTCAAACATCTGATCTCTAGGAACTGCATCAGTTACTAATGTTAAATGTCGTTGAAATCCCTCTCGGTCCAGTATTGTATTATGCAAAATGCATATCGCCTTAATGATATCATCCGCAGTCTTTTCAGTAGTCTCTATAGCTTTGGACAGAAGACGCCACTTCGCGTACATAATTCCAAAGGTGCACTCGATAGTTTTGCGTGCTCTGGACAATCTTTGGTTAAAATTTATATGTTCCAAAGAGCGGTTCCTTCGATTGTATGGTTTTAGCAAATTGGGCATTAGTGGATACGCTTCATCTGCAATAAATACGTAGGGAGCGCGGACATTTGTTCCTGGTAAACTATCTGGATTTGGCACATTTAGTTTGTTTTGGTGTATCCGTTTGTACAAATTGGAACTCTGAAACGTTCCCCCATCGCTCTGTTTGCCGTAACCTCCGACATCTATCACAAGCAATTTGTAATTTGCGTCGCAAACTCCTTGTAGGACGATAGAAAAATAATGCTTATAATTGAAGTACATGGATCCGGAATGTTGTGGTGCTATAACTTTGACGTGTTTGCCGTCAACAGCTCCGATGCAATTGGGGAAGTTCCATACTTTCATGAAGTCTGCACTTACATTTAAAAATGTTGCCGTAGTAGGTTCTGGCATGTGAAGTGGTTGCAGCATGTTCCATAATATTTTAATCATATGTTTTATAATGCTCGCAACAGTACTCCTGCCCATTCGAAAGGAAAATGCCAAGTGTCTAAAGGACGCTCCTGTTGCAAGATATCTGAAAATTTTTGTTTGTTGCAGTTAAGAAAGTTTCTGAGAAGTGGAAAAATCTACGTGATTATTTCAGAAAAGAACTGAAGAAAATACCTCTGCCCCGGTCTGGTGATCCAGGCGAAGAGGCTCTTAAAAAGAGCTCCTGGCCTCATTTCAAAAGTTTATTGTTTCTGAGAGACCAGTTTCTGCCGAGATCCAGTCATAGCAACCTGTTGGATCCCGACAATGACACACAAGTTTCGACACCCTCTACGCAGATGGATGAAAATGATGGTGACTATGACGAAGACGAAATGGACGAAACGCAGGGTGTAGAAACGCAGGAAACAGAACCCGACCACACAGAATCAGTCACTCCAATTCAAAGCACACCAAAAGAACCACGAACTATTCTAAAGAATAGGGCCCGAAAACGGTCAAATCAACTTGACACTTTTCTTGAGATAGAGAAGAAAAAACTACAATATTTAGATGAGAAACGTGTCGCTGCAGACCGTGGCAGAGCCCTACCAGTCACAGATGACGATAAACTGTTTTTTGATAGCCTTTTGCCCCACGTGGTGAAAATTAGGCCTCATCGAAAACTTCAGTTCCGCAATGAAATTCAAAATTTGGTTCAGAAGTATGCCTATGAAGAGTACTCGAACAATCAGTCCACCATCAATGTCAGTCATTCTGTTAATCATAGCCCGACATATACATCTCAACCACAAACATCGTTTGCACATTCATCCCATTTGTTGCAGGGGTTTAATTACGCAGATCAGTAAACATTATAAGTTATTATAAGTTATCGTTCGTTGTGTTCAGAAGACAGAATATTATTTTGCGTTACCGTTTGTTTGTTTATGAATAATAAAAGTATTATCCTTAATACATAATATTCTCTTACCGAATTGTTACCACCAACATTTCTTCGGTTCCTATAGGCGCTTGATTAAAATTTGTCCATTTCTTGTTGATGCAGGGTGTAACTTGTTCTAATATATACTGAAAGGTGGCAAGTTCCATTCGAATGTAGTCAAATAGCCTGTCGGGATAATTTTTCAGTTCTAGAAATAAATGATGGAATTCCCCTAGGCGTTTCCGACTTTTATTTACGTCGTGCACACTACACTGCCGCACTCCAGTCATTAAAAGCACTTGCAGGTAAGTATTATTGAGAAGAATGTCATCGTCACTGTCGGAATACATATTTTTACGTCTATCTTCGACAAAACGCGACGCTCTACTATAACCATAGGTGCCTCTTGCCTCTACGCTCTAGACGCTACCAGATATCTGAATCTGAAACCTCGTCGCTCCACTATGTTCGTACCGTTACTGCAGGCTCAGAACACCGCACCGAGATCCTATACTAAACTTGTACGGAGGATGCTATTTCGTTCAAAGAATCACATCGTACCGTAGGAGTAATTTTCATCCGGAAGCTGTTATGGAAAGAGCAAGTCCACTACTTAGCACTGAAATGTAAAAGGGCACGCAATATTATCAGATGTACATCCAGCATCAAGTGGGGTACCAGTAGAGAGGTACTAGTGGTGCTGTATAAATCATTAGTTATGTCCAAAATAGAGTATGGTATTGTAGCCTTTGCATCCGCTAAAAGAACTACATGTCCTCGAAGTTATTCACCGAGAGGCCTAAGACTATGCATCGGTGCTTTCCGGACTAGCCCATCCAACTCTATTTACTGTGACGCGGGCATTCCACCTTTCTCTTTAAGGATCTCATAGCTAACACTAAATTATGCTACCGATATTCAGGCCCAACAATCTCACCCAAATTACGAACTTATGTTCAACGACGGTCACGATGACATATATATTGCAAGACCAACTATAACCAAGCCGGTCGGTGCCACGGTACTACAGATTTTAGGCGAACTCGATATTGAACGACGAGAGGTACGAGTATATAGCATAGGTCCTAGTGAAACTCCTCCATGGGCGCTGGACCAAGTTAAACATTGTCCTAGACTGCACTGCTTATAAGAAATCATTAACGCCTGGACACGCGTACAATCATATAGTAGAGGAAATACTAAGCTGATACAGTCCTTTAGAGGTCATTTATACAGATGGGGCTAAAAGTGAAAACGGAGTTGGATCCGCATTTATAACCTCCAGCCAGTCTTTTGAATTCTATCTGCATCAACTCACGTCCATATTTACAGCTGAATTGCATGCTATATCAGAAGCTCTGAAGTACCTTCTTAATATGAACGCTGCTACTGACACGTACCTTGTATGTACGGACTCCTTGAATATCCAGCAAGCCATAACAAATAGGAGTTCATAACATCCATTGATTCTTCAACTAAATGATCAGCGGTCAAGGACAGTAGTATTTTTTTGGACACCAGGCCATGTTAACATTCCTGGTAATGAGCAAGCTGACTGGGAGGCACGCGATGCAATTCAAAATGGTACCCTGTGGATACCATTCCAACGGACTTCAAGTGTACTCCTGAAAGTCTGCTTAAAACAGACTTGGCAAAACCAATGGATGCAAAGGTCAAGCCACTTGCAGAAGATACAGCGCCATCTGTAGAAAAACGGAAATACCCAACAGGCCTCAGCAGACGTGAGCAGGTTTGCTTGACAAGACTAAGAATTCGACACACCCGTTTAACTTCATCGCATTTTCTGGTTGGACAAAGACCACCCCTATGCGAAGAGTGTCACTGCGTCCTTACAATAGACCATCTCATTCTGGAGTGCCCAAAGTATCACCGCAAACGCCTACAGTTTTCAATTCCACGCATCATCTGAGGATGTTCTGCTAATGGTTTCTCCATCAGGAACCTATTGGATTTTCTAAAAAATACTGACATGACTTACAAAATCTAAGCAGAAGACTTAACGTCACACTTTCTGCGCCCATTACAGAAGAACAAAATGCTATTCTGGAAAAGTAACGATAAAAACATCAGTAAACGAAACAAAAGGCACGTTTTGTGCTTACTTTTTCGTATCTGCGTATTTCTATGTGTATAAATAAATATTTACCATTTGTCTCACCTGTTAATTATAATAAATGTGTCTGTATGTGTAACCCCTCAGGTCTACCCCTGAGATGTTAGGTTTAACTCAATGAGGTCATAAGGCAGGAGGGAAGTATATAATGACCACAGTTGTCGATGCCATTATGGGAATAAAAAAATAAGTTGCATTTATTCGATTCTTTTACATAAATGTCTACTATTGTTAAGTGACTAAGATTTTAACAATCGAATCGGTGGAGTTTTACCATGATGATATTTTTCAACTCAACCGTACATCCTAATATAAAATTGACCTGAACGGCTCAAAAATGAATAATGAAGTGATCAGCGACCGATTAGTACAGATTTATGTTTTTTGTAAGAATAGAAAAAATTAACTTATGTGACCAATTAT